GACAGAAGTGAGTTGCGACTCACGGTTTTCAGCGATGCAGACATGGCAGGCGACATTGATGGGCAAAAGAGCACCTCCGGTGTGCTCGTCTTCCTTGGATCGGCCCCAATCTCATGGCAGTCGCTGAAACAAAAGATTGTGGCGTTGTCTACGTGCGAGGCAGAGTACGTGGCGGCAGCCACAGCGGCATGCCAGGCGGTCTGGCTGCGTCGGTTGCTGGGCGAACTGATCGGCGAGGAAGCTCGTCCACCAACTCTGATGGTGGACAACCAGCCTGCCATTGCCCTTGCAAAAAATCCAGTCCTCCATGACCGGATCAAGCACATCGATACTCGTTTTCACTTCATCCGTGATTGTATCGATGAAGGACATATTGTTTTAGAGTTTGTCGAATCCGGACGGCAGCTCGCAGACATCCTTACCAAGCCACTCGGCTGTCTTCGGTTCATGGAGCTGAAGATCAAGATTGGAATGGTGGGAAACAAGAAAGAGCAGCAAAATTAGGGGAAGAATTGTAAGATATAATCCTGCAATTTCCTTGTTAGTAAAGTGCAACTTCCTTGCACTTTCATTACACTTTCATTGCACTTTCATGGCACTTTCATAGCAGCCATTTAAGGCTGAATTTTCAGCTCAAGAAATTTCTAGAAAAGCCACCAGAATAGTTGTTTTTAGTTCTTATAAATAGGGATGCAGTTTTTCATTTATAAACACACAGAAAAGCTTAATACTCAATACATTGAGTTGTTCACAATCTTCTTCTTTCATCCTAAAAGTGTTCGTTTGTACCGGAAGCATTTTTTGCTTACCTGAGCAGTGAATGAGCAGGGACTAACAAGTGGCATCAGAGCCATGGCAAGCCAAGATGTTGCGTCGATGGTGCAAGGGAGCGGAGCATACGCTTCACCACGCCAGGAGGTCATCATCCACAGGACCGTGCGGGACGTTGGCGGGGCCAACTGGCTGGTCCTCACACGCACAAACTACGGCGAGTGGGCGGTGCTGATGAAGGTCAAGTTGCGTGCGCGCAAGCTTTGGCGGGCCATCGAGGAAGGCACCAAGGATGAAGAAGAGGACTGCGCAGCGATGGAAGAGATTTTGTTCGCTGTGCCTCACGAGTATGTGGAGTCGTTGGGCGCAAAGGACTCCGCAAAGGCTGCTTGGGACGCCCTCAAGGCCATGCGCATCGGGTCTGATCGCGCAAAGAAGGCGAAGGCGCAGCAGTTGCAGCGGGAGTACGAGGTGCTGGAATTCCGCGACGGCGAGGCAGTGGAGGATTTCTCGCTCCGTTTGCAGTCGCTCGTCAGTCAGCTGGCGGCGAATGACGTCACCATCACCGACGAGGAGGCGGTCGCGAAATACTTGCGGGTCGTGCCGCCTTCGGGATAATAGATCGGGAATGGGATACCCCTTAATTTGTACCTCAGATTGAACTCTTAGCTGCGACTTATACTTTTCTTATTAAAGCCATATGAGAGCCTATGGATCATACCTTTTTTTTCTATCGATATAGAAAGTATCTTATTCGCTCGCATTCTATTTAACAAAACGAAAGCCAGATGATCGCCGCTCAACTACTGCTTACTCTGTTTTCCTTAGCACCAATCACTTTGCTTTCGACCTAAGCTTGCTAACCTTCTTCTATTGGTTGGTCTTGACCCAGCAAGGACGAATACCTTAGCCCTAATAAACCATCCTATTCTGACTTGATAGTACCCGGAGCGTAAGTTCAGCTTAGTGAAAGAAGTGGCCTTCCTCCAACGATCGAACAAGTAAGCCACCAGCGGGACTGGGTATGTATTTTTCACCGTCACCTTATTAAGAGCACGATAGTCAACACATAGTCTAAGAGTCGAGCATATTTCACTCCTTTCCTTGCGGCCTAGCGCTAGCGTAGGGTCGATGTAATTGACCAAAACGAGCTAAAAGATTCGATAAACAGCTAGAAATCCAGAATCAAATAATTTGTTGTGGTGAAACAAAATATCGCTCATTTCCCCCTCGAATATATTGTTTTTTTTTCTTTCCAAGGGACTCTTGTTATGTTGTTTTGAGGGGAGCACTAATCCTTTCAATCCG